TCAGTCACTAGTAGGGTTTAAAATTGATAAAGAGGAGTTATTGGATGAGGTGTTAATGTTTAAAGATAAGACACTTGGACCAGATGAGATGCAGCCAAGCATATTGAAGGAAGTGAGAGTGGAATTTACAGAAGCACTGACAATTTTTCAACCTTGGATTCCAGGATGGTGCTGGAAAATTGGAGAATTGCAAGCATCATGCCTTTATTTGAAAAAAAAGTTCTGTAGTAGAACCCCCCAGAGGTCAGTATTTTTTAAAACATATACTTTAATGATCAAGATCTTGGTGCAGGGGACAATTTCAAAAGTTGAGACAGATGCAAAACTTGAGAAATTGTAAACTGTGTTACGACACAGGAGTAGTAAGCCAGATTAAATTAGATTTGCTAACTCCGCACTCAGAACACAGTAAAATTTAAAACACTCAACCCTTAAAATTGCTCAATTGTTCCTAATCAACCTTTACAGATAATCAATCTTGGACAGCAAGTTTATAACTTAAATCAAAATTAACTATTTATTATTAATAATGTAACTTTAGCAGAGCACAGATGAACTAAAAGGCAGTTTAATTAATATCGGCAGTCTAAGCCCAATTTTCCTTGGTCAACAACCCCACTCTCTCTCTGACAGACAAACAGACATGGTTAAGGGATAAATTTTAAAAAGTAAGAGTTGTAAATTTCCAGTTTGATAACCATTTCAACAATGAATACCAAGTCTCCATAAAATCCAGTGGGTAGTATTACAGGCATATCGGAATGTATCTTGCTTGAATTCCAGAGTCTTCGGTCAAAGCAGCTTCCGCTGACTTCTGGAGACTTTTCCTTGTTTCTTGTAGATTGGGGTTCTTTTGCCAACATTTTCAAAAACCAATAACTAGAGAATAATCATAGAGAGCACAACCAAAAACGCAAGCCAGCAGGTTTAAAGCCAAAAGCCCAGTGAAAACCAGTTGACCCTTTGGTTTATCTTTCTTTTTAACATTCTCTGTGGTTGGTTGGCCAGCACCCATCGTCCCTTGATTTTAACAATTTAACATCAAACCACATCTTAGTGTGGTCTGTAGATAGTATTCTTGGAGCAATAACTAACTTGCATTATCTTTGCAGGCCACTTCCCAAAAGCAAACCTCAGTCCTTTTTTTTTTAAAATAAATTGCCGTTCACAGCTCAAAGTTCAGTTCTCCAGCGGACTCCTAGTTCAAACCAAAACCGAGAAATAAATAAAATAATGATGGTCTCAACTGTGTGGAAGACAGAGTAGAACTTAAAAGGGACAATGACACAGTGGATTTGGTGGGTAAGTGGCAGATGAAGTTCAATGCACAGAAGTTGAGATATATTTTGATACAAAGAACATGGAGAAACAATATTAAATAAATATTCTACAGAGTGTGCAGAAGAAGTGACCTGGATGTATATGTGTTTAAGTAATTAAAAGCAGCAAGACAGATAAAGAGAGCAGTTAATAAAGCACATGGTATTCCAGGCTTCATTAATAAGAGCATGGAGAACGAGAACAGGGAGGTTATGCTGAACTTGTATCAGACACCAGTTAGATCTCAGTTGGAGTATTGTCTATAGTTTTGGGTGACGTACCTTAGGAAGATTGTGAATTCCTTGGAGAAAGTGAAGAAGTGGTTTATGGGGCTGATTTCCCTTGGAGAGGAGAAGGCTAAGGGAGATCTGATTAAACTGTTTTCAAATCGTGATGGATCCAGACAGTAGTGTCAAGACTTAAGTGGGACATGTGTGCTGATAATCGTGCCCTACTATTTCTCAACTGAATGTATAAAATCCCAATGAGAGCTCCAAACTGACCAATCTTTGTGACTTACTGCTACCTAGGAAAAAAGCAGTTGCCAACACATTTCTTCAGTAACAGCAAAAGTAACTGTGTGTTGCAACACTCTTAAGGGCAGTAGAAGAAAAATAGTTATAATTTATGCAATTCAGCTTTACTGTTTCAAAACACACACCCAACCATGATGAAGACAGACAAAAGACAATAGGTTGAAAACATATACTGTGAGTGAGAAGAGAATATATGCAGGTAAACAAAATTCCAAAGATCATAAGACGAAACCGCAAGGTGGAAAGTTATTTTCCTCTGTCCTTTTGTTTGTTGTAATGATGAGACACAATTTACCCAATAATGATGTGATCAACAGCTGAATCAAAGGGTGACCTTGAAGTTAGGTCTTAAATAAATATTTTGTTTCAAGTTTGCTTAAGTTTTTATTTGTCTTTGTCTTTTTCTCCATGTGAAGGGAGAAAGAGCCACTGTCAGTGTGCAGGCCCTGGATGTTTACTACTCTCTGCTTTTCCTGGCATTTAAGGTTATTTGTTACCAGGCAGAATTTCCTTTATCTGAAAAGATTCTTGGTGCTTCTTCATCTGAAATCTTTCCTTGTCGTCCACACACAGACACACACACCACCACCACTTTGTTGCACAGTTCACCAATATGCAGCACTTGATTTTCAAATTCCTGGTTTTCAGTTGTAACAGTACAACTTCTATTTCAATCTGTAGTATCAAAAAATGAAAAATGTGTGGCTGTTCCAATGGAGTGAAACTCTTCATACTCTTAAGACGATTTTACCCAGACAATTGGCTGACTTCATTCTGCAGTTATAGATCCAGTAATACCTCCTTTCTGGTTGGGAAAAAGATAATAATCAAACGGGTTCTGAGGATCACGTTGCAGAATTTTCTTCTTATGATATTACCCCAATCAGTACTTCGATAATTGAAGTTCTCCAATATCTCCACTCTGTAGTTAAGAGGTGTAAGTGATCCTGTTGACATCACAGCAACATTTGATCAAGTACAGCACCAAGGAGTCCTGGCAAAATGGAATTCAGTGGCATCCATGGAGAAAATTCTTCCTTTGTGCTAGGTATGATTCCAACCAGGGAAGATGCTTGAAGTAAAAACAGAAATTACAGCATATATAAGGGACAAAGCAGAGTTAACATTCCTGATGTTCAATGCGATTTATGTCTCTTAGATATTAAAGCAGACCATGTCCATGTGCAGCAAGACCGAGAGAACACCCAGGCTTGGGCTAATAAGTGGCAAGTAACATCTGTATCGCATAAGTGTCAGGCAATACCATCTCCAAAAAGACCGAATCGAACCATCCCCCTAGAACATTTAATGGCATTACACTAGCTGAATCCCTTACTCTGATGCTGGAGGCTATCTTTGACCAAATTGGACCAGTCATGTGAACAGTGGTGACAGACAGGCCAGAGGCTAGGAATTCTGTAGTGTGTAACTCATCTCTACATTCTCCAGTGCCTGTCCTCCATTACAAGGTACAAGTCAGGAGTGTGTTGGAATACCTTTCACTTGCCTGAATAAGCGTGGCTCCATGCTCAAGAAACTTGACACCTTGCAGGAGAAAGCAACTCACTTGATTGGCGCTTCATCCACCACCTTAATCGTTAGATCCCTTTACCACAGATACTTAGTGGCAGGGCCTCCTGAACCAGGATTATGACACAGCAACAATAAAGGAATGACGATCTTATTTTAAGTCAGGATAGTGTGTGGCTGGATGGGAACTTGAAGGTGTTGGTGTTCCCATATATTTACTGCCCTTGTCCTTCCAGGTACCAGAGGTTATGATCTTGGAAGGAGGAGAAGCTTTATGTCAATTGGTGAATATGTAGCCAGAAGTGGTTTTAAAAAAGAACAAGATTTGCTTTTCTACCCTAAGATCTGAATCACCCATTCGGTCTTCAAAACCTGAGGTGACAGCAAGGGCAGCTCTGTACTTTCAGGATTTTTATAGTGTGATAAAACTTCTGTTCTGTATTCAACAACTTGTATTCAAACCAAGACTATCTTTACTGCCTGCCTGACCTGAAATGCTCCGAATATTAATTACGTAAAATGCACAATACAGAAACAAATCCCAGCTGGTTCATGATAGTGTTCATGTTCCACAGATGTTTCCTCTCTCCTGCTTCACCTCATTCTTGGAACATATCATTTTCCTTTCTCGTGCATGTTTATCTAGTTTCCTGTTAAACCATACCAGTGCCATTTGCCTCAACTACTACTTGTGGTACATTCCACATTCTGACCATTCTAAACAAATTTGAATTTGAATTCTGATTGAAATATAAAATCCTGAGGGGTGTTGGCATGGTGAAAATAGAAAAATGTTCCCTCTTGTGGGAGAATGTGAAATTAGTTGTTTAACAAATAAGGAATTGTCCATTTAAGACACGAGCAGAACTTTTTTTTTCACAGGATGTCATGAGTCTTTGGAATCCTTTTCCTGAAAAGGAGTGGCAGCAGAGTTTAGAATATTTGTGCTAAGGTGGAATAGATTCTTGATTAGCAAAGGAGTAAGAGGTTATCAGAGATGGGTGAGGATGTGGAATAATCTGATAAATCATGATATTATATGGTGGAGCAGACTGAAGAAGCCAAGTGGCCTATTCCTGCTCCTAATTTGCATGTTCCTAAGTTACACTTTGGATAAATAAGATTTTTATTGGATTTATTACTGAATGTATAGAACCTAGTTTTAGTCTCTGAAAGAAGCATTTAATGCAGCTTTTCCATGTTGGAGACCAGCAATACAGTGCAGAATTTCTATGAAACTGACTTATGATTGGTACATGAGCTTCTGTGCAGTACTGTACCAGATAGTGCTTGGCTTTTTGTAATTTTAAGCAACTGAACAGTTTTTGTTCCAGAGATATTCTCCCATTCCCCCACTTGAAACTATTTGAGCTATGTAACTGAGGACACCATTGAAAAGGGACCAAAGAAATCTGTAAATTCTTTGTCTCCAGAGAACTCTGCACTTCTGGGTAATTTGTTAAGCAACAGCTTCAACGTATCTGAATGTGATAAGGCGCTTAAGTCAAATGTATACTTTTAAGTGCTTGGCTAGTGCATAATTTTTTTTTTAAGACTATGAAAATGAGTGAGAATGTTAGCTATTTGAGTTAACTGGGTTTTTTTTTCATTTAGATCAAAAATGCCTACATTTTACTGCATTTGGCCTTGTGAAAAGTGCAGTTATTGCAATGCCTTAAGTACACAAAAATGTAAGAACTGCAGTGAACCAATAAAAGATGGAGAGCAGCCTTTGTATTTGGAAGGTATGAGTATTAGATTTTCAAAAAACTCCAGCTTTGCCAAACATTGTTTTCCTTTCATCAATCCATGTTGACATTTAAGTGTCCTGTTATCACATCCTTTATAATTGGTTGACCGGTCTGTAATTCCTGGTTTTCTCCCTTCCTCCTTTTTTAAACAGTGGAATTACATTTGCCACGTTCCACTTGAATTATTTCAGTTTTTAATCTTACAGAATTTTTGGAAACAAATTCAATGTATAGGATTGTAACAGCCTTCATATTTAGTAATGACATTCCACATTGTGTATGCAGCCTGAGGGAAAAACATTACAGTTTCTATAACTTGTAATTTGAAATCTATATTAAGGTCTCTATACAACATTTTTCATTCTGGTGCCTTAATGCCTTCTCAATACATGTGATTTACATTGTGCATTTTTTGTGCGGTACACAGCATGGGATGGGGGGTGCAGTATTGAATTCAAAACAATGCAGCTTAAGGACAGCGACCTTTCCCCACTATATCTTTGCAGCAGCTGCCCAGAACTTCATGCTGCGGGATGCACTGTAAACCCGGAGCTTGGAATATGCTGATCTGCAACACCTGGTCAAGGACTATTCCATGGACTGAAAGATCAGCAAATTTCAGGCAAACCCAAGAGTATCTTTCACAGAGTTAATGGTTTTCCAGGTGCAGTTCATATTTATCTTGATATGCATGCCTAGGAACTGCCAAATGAGCACAGAGTCCTGTGTCATGGAGTTGCTCAAGATGAACTTAAATGAAAACGCTCCATCTCCACCCTTCCTTGGCTAAGGTGCGTTTGACAAGGAGATGGATAACAGTTTCTTCATCACTGACCACCAGCAGAAGTCCAGGGCCAGAACTCACATTTTCATGGTGCTCCTATAAGTTAGATTTCCACAGCACTCGGTCATTTTTAGTCAATTTCTAAAACAATGCCCAGCCTGTGCGTTAGTGTTTTGGTGAAGTGTTGACAAAGTGGTACAGAAAATTTCCTGATATGTTTTGTAAGTCCTCTTCAAAGTTCCCAACAGTATAATAGTTGATATTGTTTTAAATAATATCCACAATTCTTTGTAGTGATTTATTTATGTTAGTATATAATTTAAATGCCAGTAAACCCCTAACCCTCTTGTTGCCCATTCCTAGCACTACCTCCGTAGTTTCTTGTGCTAAATGCAGGCAAGAATAGTGTTTCAGCTTAAGATTTCATCTTAGCCACATCAGGGACATGTTATCACCTGATTAAGCAGTCAAAAATCAATCTCGCTGGCTCTGAACATGCCATTTGAAGCAAGCTATTTAAAATGCACTAATGTAAATTTGTTGCCCCTAAAATTTCAGCTATTTTAAGTACCATTATTTGTTAGTTCACATTGGTTACAGGCATACATTTAATAATTTTACTTTTCAGCATTCCTGTTTTAGAAATAAACAGATCTTTCATTATGTAGTGCCTTAGCATCAGCTCAGTCGTGGCCCCAATTTGTCCATTGATGCCAACATCGACAACACAATTGCACATGATAACTATTTCATATGAGACTAAACGACTAATCAGCCATTAACAAAAGTACATTATATAAACCTCCTCTATTCCCAACAGATTTTGTTTGCTGCATGACCATCATCTTGTGTGAGTGAAGGATGCTGATGATGGTATTACCCTCTCACAGCTGCTTATAATAAAGTCCCACAAAAAGCATATCAGACAAATGATCAGCTAATGTGATTGGAGTGGTTGTTTGGTGAGGGCCAAAATTCTATTACTTACAATGTGCCCTGGGATCATTTATCTTAACTGAATTTACAGGCAATACCTCCAGTTTATTAATCTTGTTTTGAATTTAGTATCTTTGTCTGTTATGCAATACTACAGCAGTATCTTCAGCTTTGTTTCCAATTTTGCCCACTGGTGAGACAAATATCCTCAATCAATCCAATCTCTAATGGCAAAGAACTTCTCTTTTATCTGACATTCTTTCCCTAAGCAGTTGGAGCTTGCTAATACTTTGCCTTCAGAAGTTTCCCTGAGACCCTGGAACTCTACCATTATTGTTTGATGCCCATTTCTTGTGGTACATCTTGTGCAGCCTGCTGTATAGCAAAGGTGCTATATTACAAATTGATGGTTTGACTGTAGTTATCATGAACATTGTATTTGGCTGTACAGCTTGGGAAGAAAGATCTTTAAATATTCTACATTGTGATTTTAACAGGGTTAGGTGACAAAAATGTTGTTTGCTGCAGCCCCACAAGTGTTGTATTTATCAGAAGAACTTTACTTTGTCACTTACTCAACTTGTGACAACTGGTTAACAGCAACTCTCATCATCAGGCTGTTTTAAAACAGTTTAAAAGTTGTTTTTTTTTAGCTCTTGAGTAATCTGTTGCTTATCATTACTTTGTGTTTGAGAGACTTGCATATAGAGTCATCACACAAAAAAGGAGGACGTGGCTCATTGAGTCGGCACCAACATGCTCTTACAGTATGGACTAATTCTTCTGTTACCCAGTGGATTTGATAACTCCTGTATAGCTTATTTCCAAGTTATCTAATAAATAGTTAATTCTGCTCAATGTGTAAATATTTTAAAATCTGAATACTTTTGTTCTTTTATTTTAAATAAGCATAATGCAGTGAATATTGAGTGATTTTCATCTCAGCAAATCCTAAAGATCTTTAATTATTTTGAACTTTATTCTTTCCACAATCAGTTTTTTTTTATCTGCGTTGATTTTTACCATTGATCTGTGAAAAATACCCAGGCGTCAAGATTCTGGTCCAGAGAAAATATAATAAAACTGGTAATGTTTTTATATGTTTTAAAACCAGGAAGAGTCAGTGGGTAATAGTATTAACCTAGTTATGTCTTACCCCTCCTTGAAGGCACCAATGTATTCCAGGCTACATTTCCACAGAGGCTTAGGATCTCACCAAAGTTGGCGTGCTTACTGTATGAATCCATGTAGTGTAAGCAGGGTGTTTGATTGACAGAGGATGAAATGGATGAGGTATCAGCCAGCTCAAACCAGTCCTCAACCATTGAAAGTGAAAATAAAAGTAGGAGTAGGCTCGCTCTTCCGTTCAGCATTATCGTTGCTGACCTTCCAACTCAATGCCCTATTCCTGCATTCCCCTATGCTTTAGATCTGAGAACAATATCTAATTCCTTGAGAATGTTCAACGTTTTGGCTTTCACTACTTTCTGTGGCACAGAATTCCACAGACTAACCACTGTCTGCAGGAAGAGATTTTTCCTAATCTGTCCTAAATGGCCTACCCTGTAACCTTAGACTATGACCCCCTGGTTCAGGTCTCTCCAGTCATCAGGGACATCCTGTGTTTACCCTATCTAGTCCTGTTAGAATCCCCCGTCATTTTTCTAAACTCCAGCAACTATAGTCCTAACCTATCCAGTCTCTCTTTGTACATTAGAGCTGCCATCACAGGAATCAGTTTGGTAAACCACCTTTGCACTCATCCCATAGCTAGAACATCCCTCCTCAGACAAGGAGATTAAAACTGCACATAGTATTTCAGGAGTGATCTCAAGGCCCTGTACAGTTACAGCAAGATGTCCCTGCTCCTGTACTCAAATTCTGTCACTAGGAAAGCTAACATACCATTTGTTTTCTTCACTGCCCCTTTGTTTCACCTCTCCCGATCCCAAACTATCGCCACTCAGATAATAATCTTCCTTCCTGTTTTTGCTACCAAAGTGAAAAATGCCACTTGATCCACATTATACTTCATCTCCCACACATTTGCCCGTTCACTCAACTTGGCCAAATCTCTCTGGGCCATTTCTGCATCCTTCTCTCAGTTCACCCTCCCACCCAGCCTTGTGTTGCCTACAAATATTGAGATAGTATTTTTAGTTCCCTCGTCTAAATCTTGTTCCCTGTCAGCCCATTCTCTGTCCGTGTCAGGACACTATCTCCAATCCCAAATATTTAATTTTACATGCTGATGTCTTATGTAGGATCTTATTGAAAGTCCAAGTAAACAGTATCCTTGACTTCCCCCTTATCGGCTCTGTTAGTTAAATCCTCAAAATCCAGTAGATTTATCAAGCACGATTTCTCTTTTGTAAACCCATGCTGAGTCTGTCCAGAGATAGCAGGCCCTTCTTCAGAAGGCCCTAGGCCCGAAACATCAGCCTTCCTGCTCCTCTGATGCTGCTTGACCTGCTGTGTTCATCCAGCTCTACACCTTGTTATCTCTGAGTCTGTCCAGTCCTGTCATTGTTTTCCAAGTGCTCTGTTATTAAATCTTAATATGATGGATGTTAGCATTTTCCTTACCAATATCGGGCTGTCTAGTCTGTAATTCCTAGTTTTCTCTCTAACCCCACTACTTATAAAAAGGGGGTACATTAGCTACCCTCCAATACATGGGAACTGCTCCAGAGTTTATAGAATCTTGAAAGATGGCCACCAATGCATCCACTATTTCAAGGACCATTTCTTTAAGTACTGTGGGATGTGGGATACCAGGCCCATGGGTATTCATCAGCATCTAATCCATGAATTTTTCCAGTACCATTTCCCTCATAATGTTAATTTCCTTTTTCCTGCCTCTCACTAGACCCTGTGTCCGCCAGTATTTTTGAGATGTTATTTGTGTCCTGCTTTGTGAACACATGTCTGCCATGTCTTTGTTCTCCATTAACTTCCCCTTTCCTGACTGTAAGGGATCTACATTCTACATTTGTTATCATTTATCTTTTTCTCTTCACATACCTAGCGTTAAGTTGCATCTCTGCATCCTCCTCACAGTTCACCCTACCACTCAACTTTGTGTTGTCGACAAATGTGGAGATTTAATATGTAGTTCCCTTATCTAAATTAACGAACATTGTGAATAACTAGAGTCCAAGTACTGATCCCTGGTATGTCACTAATCATTGGCTACCACTCAGAAATTTTGATTTGATTTATTTATTTTCACGTGTATTTTGTTATGAAATACAGAGAAAAGTGTTGTATAGTGTCACCACTCTCTGGCGCCATCTTAAAATACAGAAGAAAAGAACCAAAACATCAAATATAAAGACAGAAAAATAAAATTCATCTTTACAGTCCATCTTGTTAAGTGCTCAGCCATGGGCCTGGACTAGCCAACAACCGGCCCCCTTGCTGCGCCATCGGAACCTCTCTGCCGCCATCTCCCCTCCACAGATGCTGCCGCCACCATGAGTCCTCACTGGAACTCACCAATGCAGCCGTCGCCGATGCTGTCGGGTCACACACCAGCCCAAACTCTGCTCAGCCACAGCTGCCGAAAGTCCACTCCGGGCTTGCCTACTCATGGTTTTCTGCGTGAATATACTATCTCCACCACCACCGCACTCCCCCACCCCCCATCCCAGTCCCACAGTTACAGTCATTATCCATATGTGTACTTTGAGACTGTCTTGGCAAATATTTTTAATCTACCCAAGTCCAGTGTACTAAGGCCCACTGCAGTGCTTCAACTGTTACCAGAGTTGTGGTTAAATAATTTAAAGTGTGAAATAATGCGGTGAACATGTGGCTTTCCAGGTATTGAATACTGGTCAATTTTCCATGAGATTACAGAGAGAGCATTTTATAGAGTTATTTAATTTTAATTACACTCATTATTACAAATTTTATAGATAAGAATATGCTTCTTGCGCACAACCAGAGAATCCTTGCATCTTTTTCCACTGCTGAGAAAGCATTCCTGCGCTTCAGAGCGGTTAGCCCTAATCCTGAAAGGCAGAAAACAAATGAAGGCATTTGTGATAAACCTATTAATCAGCTGTTTGACTCTAGAATGAAACCTCACACCTTTGATAGGGTATTAACGACTCAACGTGCTGAAGAAATTGCTGAGACAAAATCTCAATTTTCAGACGCTTTGGAGTCAGCATATGAAACTCACTCCTCTAATGGAAGCTCAGTTGTTGAGGATCTGACAAAGGAAACTGATTTAGTGTTGGCTGTTGAGCAAGAGAAGAACAAGCAGAAATTAGTATTGATGAAAGAGTATGGAAATGAATCGACCCTGTCTTTGGACACAGAGTTTGAAATGTACAGGAAACTAAATGAAATGAACTTGGAGCAAGCTGCTAGTGATTGTTTTCAGGAGGGTAAAAGAGAAACGTTGCATCAATACATTCCGGAATGTAAGGATTTGGGGAGATTGAATATAGAACCATTTCCTGATGCGGATGCTCAGAATCCTGCAGAATCTAATCAGTTTGCACGTTGTATTCCTCCAGTTGAAGAAATCGATGAGACCTCTTTTATTTCTGCAGTCACTTCAACACCAAGATCGTTCATACATGAGAATAATGAAATAGCTATTTGTGAATGTGCAGAAAGGTCAGCTGAAACTCACCTTCTCGAATGTAAATCTGCTGGGACCTCAGAAAGTGCATTCAATGATGGTGACAACATAGGTCCTAATGGGAGCATGTTAGAACAAGTAGAAGGTTCATGTAACAATGTCCTTCAGACTAATGTACTGTTGGAGAGTGTTAATCTAAGAGAAGGATGCTTCCTTTATCAAGACAATGAATTTGCCAATGACCAATCTACCTATAGTACATCAATAGACATTGAAAGTGAAAGTCAGGTACCATTGGTGCCATTTAACACGATTGAAACTGTAACTTCTACCAATATTATTTCAAAAGCTGAAGACATATTACAGAACAGCAATACCGAATGTGCATGTGAAAGTCCAGATCGTCCAGGATGGGAGATGACCTGTGAACTAACTGCAGTTAGTTATGAAATGTCAGCAGATTTAGATGAACGGAAGTTTTTTGATGATTCATTTGTGTCAGCTGCTGAGGATAGCATTGTTGCAAGTGTAGCAGTAGCAGACCATTACTGTGATGTGACGAGCCAAGTGAATGATGTATTTGAACCATTAGAGATAACTGAAGACAATCGGTTTATCAACTGTGTCACACAGACATCTGACTTGACAGCTCCTGGAGGTGGTACTTTGCTTGAAGGAACTTGTCCTCAAAACCAAGTGAAATGTGACAACTGTTGGAAAAAGAGCTCAAAAGGTTTAATTATGAAGGTAAACCAATATATTGATGCATGCACTGATTTCAGAACTGATTTCACCATGGATAAAGACACAACAGCTGTAATCCCTGTTGTTGACCGAGCTGACAACACAGATATAACTTTGATGAGCAAAAATAGACCAACTCTGGGACAAAGTAGAAAGTATGGAAATGTTGCATGTAATACAAAGTGGTCCATTGTTGAATCTACTGTGAAACAACAAAGCACACAGACAGCTAAGGTCACCACAGAGGAGAAATCCATCAATACGGTCTTACAGACAACAGATTTTAATTCATATTCAAAGGTACGATTTTTATTTTGGTCAACTAGATGTTTGTACTACACAAGTTAAGATGCTGCTCATGAAATTGAAATACATATCCCATTTTAGAATTTTTCACCTAGAAGGGCATATAAGAAAGAATCAACAAACTTACATTTTTACAATATCCTTCTCATCCTTAGTCTGTTCCAAAGCACTCTGGAACACTGTTGTCATTGTTGTAGAATCTTGTATTTCCTGAGGTCTAATAGCACAACAAATTTAATGTCAGTGTTAACTAACCTCATTGTTTTATGTGTAGCTGGCATTCAAGCCTGATTCAAGTTAAGTTGAGCTAAACCCTATGCATGATGACTCCAGTTTCTGTCCAGAATCAGGTTGACCTTATTTAAAGTCTGACCTTATAATGCTATAACTGTAGTATTGTTATGAAGCAGTGCCACTTTGCTTCATGTGCTTACATAGAGTATGATGCATTACCAACTGATCTGAATTTGCAGCTTTCAAATTTAAGCTTCATTTATTTTGTCCATGGGCAGTATTTCGGAGCCAGTAGCAATCAACTTCAAATGGCTAAAATCACTTGTGGAAACTAGGTTGAGGTTTGCAAAAAGAGTTCAGTGTTCCAGAGTCAGTTTAATGCCTTATCCAAAACTGATTGGGAACCTAGCTATGAAATATTTTGGAGAACTTGTACTGCTGGTACTGACTTTTGGAAGAGACATTAAATCAAGTCTCAATCCACTCTTCCGGGTGGTCTGCGCTTGTTAACCACTGATTCCCTTGTCTATCAAAAAAGTCCATCTAACTCAGCTTTAAATAAAATCAATGACCCAATCTTCACTGCTTTCGGGGATAGCAATTTTCACAAGACTACTAGCCATCTCAAAGAGAAAAAGAACTTGTCCTTATCTTAAAGGAAAGTGTTATCTTTAAAGTGTGGTCTTAGTCCTAGACTCCCTCATTACTGAAATGAAGACACTGAGACAAACTTTGTTAACATCTGACCTTACTATATCACAGCATTATTTGAGTATGTATAGCAGCTGTATAAAATAGTTAGCTGTATCTGGCCACAACCAAATCATCATCTGGTTCATCTTCACTTCTCACTGCATTCATGCATGTAAGGTTTGCCCAAGGCACACAAAAATTATGTCACTTAACACTCTATCTTATTTATGGTTGTGTACAGCATTAACTGACCAAATGTTTGGGCGATTTGCTTTCACCAGTTTAACGTATTCGCCAATGTACCATTCTGCAGACAAAATGTCATAGCAATTAGATATGCCATCTTTGTGCAAATTGAATTCAGTTATATTAACACTATATCTACCACGGTCTGCCAGAGATGATGATGCCATGGGGTCTCCTGTATGCCCAGCTCTTACAAATATCTTAGATGGAATAGCATCTTGACTCCTCCTTTGCACATTTCCAAGATGCGGATGATAGGTTTGCTAGAATTTAACCCATGGATTCATGTCAGTTTCTTTGTATGTCTCAATGAATTCATCCTGCATTCAAATGCACCTTTGAAATGGATAGTTAAATTAGCTTTTTTTTTTAGTATATTAGTCACGAAATCAGCCACGTATCTTCTGCCATCTACTGCGTGCCCACCTTCATTTGTATACATTAGGATTCCTACAGTTCTACATGTTACAGGGTTGACCTTGTCAACAACTTTGTATTTAAGACCTAAGACATTTTCTTCGTAAGCAAGCATAATGCAGAAAAAGGGCACAAAGCAATCTGCAAGATAGTGACTTCCCTGCAGGCCGTACTTTCCAAAGACTAAGGGATCATATCAAATGGCCCCTTTCAGCAGCTCGCAACAAGCAATATACAAACTATACCCAATCAACCCATGCTGGCAAAGTTGCGCTCTCTAATACACAGTTCAAAGAACACCAGACTTCTCCCAAACAGTCCGCTGCCCCTCTGAAAGGGGCACCTGGATTTCTCCAAAAGGGTTCTGTATCTCCCCATATCTCCTGCAAATTTTGAGTTTTGGCTCAAAAGTCTAAAGCTCAGTAGTTGTGTTTTGGATATCTCGCAAATTAAAATTGAAGGCAAATGCAGTTTTATATGTGCAGCAGCCTTGTGACCCATGGGTGTGTAAACTACAACCCATCCTGGCAAAAATGGTGGGTGCCTGGTTCAGGGATGGGGCTTCTGATTTGAAAGTTCTTGCACTGTTTTGCCAAAGACAGTTTGGGCCCTTGTGTAAGTATCAGTAGTATTTCATCATTCAGTTTGTTTTCATTGTTTAATGCCCTTCCTTGTGCTCACTGCATAGATTTATCTATGTTGAGCAATGCCTGCCAATTGTCAAGACAAATTCTCTTTGAATCTAAAAAGGTGATTAACTGTGCTTTGCTTGCTAAATGCAGGAATTGGGTCCCAATCAATGCAAAACCAAATTGAGGAAAGTTCTTGGTGAACTTGAAGAGCTGAAGAAAAAGTGTAAAAGGTATTACTAACTGTAATTAGAAATGTATAAATGAAGTCACATTTTAAATGCAGAATGGTGACACACTACAATACTTTTTTACTGTATTTTGTAACAAAGCATTTGTGACAATAAATAAATCAAATCAAATCAAAGGTTAATGAGTTGAAAGACCTTCAGTCGTAGCTATAAGAATTGTAAGTGAGATGTATTTGATAATTGACCTTCACTCCATCTTAAGATCAGAAGATACTGAAGCAATCCATGTTCAAATGCAACAAGATCTGGGCAAAAAAAAGGGAAGTAACACTGATGCCTCAAAAATGCCAGGCAATGACCATCTCCAATAACAATCTTATTTGAAACGAAAACAGAAATTGCTGGAAAAGCTCAGCAGGTCTGGCAGCACCTATGGAGAGAAATCAGAGCTAATGTTTGGGTTGAGTAACCCTTCCTCAGAACTGATGGTAGGTAGGAAAACATCAGTTTATATGCAGAAGGGTTGGGGTAGGGGGTAAGGAGTAAATGAGGGATGGGGATAGACCCAAAGAGAGAGAACTACAATTAGGCTGACAAAGAAATCGATAATGATCTGACTAGGTGGGTGAATAACTATTAATGGGGACTGTTAGTGGGTAACAATGGGTTGTGTGTAATAGTGAACTGTGTTAACAAGACCTGATGTATGTGGCTTGGGATAAGGACATGGGAGAGCTCAAGCCCTAAAGTTATTGAACTCAATATCGAGTCCAGAGGGCAGCAAGGTCCTCGAGGGAAAAATGAGGTGCTGTTCTTCCAACTTGCACTGAGCTTTGCTGGAGCACTGCAGCAAGGCTGAGACGGATGTTGACCAGGGAACAGGGTGGTGTGTTAAAGTGGCAGGCACCTGGAAGCTCAGATTCTTTTTTTTGCGGACAGAAAATAGGTGTTCTGCGAAGCGGTCGCCCAGTCTGTGCTTCATTTCCACAATGTAGAGGGGATCAAGTTATGAGCAGTGAATGCAATAGACTAGATTGTGTGAAGTACGCAATCTAACTTGACTGCAGCAAGTAACTCACCACCTGACTCCCCAAAGTCTGTTCCATATCTACAAGGCACAAGTCAGGAATGTGATGAAATACTCCCCAGTTGCCTAATCAGTGCACCTCCAACAACAGGAAGCTTGACACCTTTTTAGGACAAAGCAGCTAACTTGATTGGTACAACTTTCACAATCACTCGCTCCCTCCACCACCAATACTTAGTAGCAGTGGTATGTTCTACTATCTACAAGATGCACCGCATATATCAACCAAAGATCCTTAAACAGCACCTTCCAAATGCACAGCCACTTCCGTCGAGAAAGCCAAGGGCAGTAAAATGCAAAGGAAAGTTGATACAAGGGAACTCCATCGCTTGCAAGTTCCCTTTCAAGCCAATCACCATCCTAACTTGAAAAGTCCTCAAGGAGGCAGTTCACACCCACTTTATCAAGGGCAACTAGGGACTGGCAACAAGGGACTGACAACAAAATTGCTGGCCAGACAGCGACATCCATGTTACACAAGTGAATTTGGAAAAGGTTGCCATTTTTATAATTGGCGTGTCTTCCACAGAGTATGGCATTAAGCCATCAGTTTTTTCCATGATGGCATAAATAGAAATGTTACATTTGTGTTTTAAGATATTAAGTACCTTACTGTGTGTATAGAAAAGAACTTAGTTGTTTATATAACTTGGGAGAGTCTAATAGGATTGCTGAATACAAAGAAACAGATGTTGGCAACTCAGCTTGATTGGGGAGAAAACCATTTTAAGTGAGAAGAATAGCTTTTGAATGGACAGTGCCCTTATTCTAGTCTAAGGTTTGATTATTATTCTAGTTTCATGTGATGTCTCTATTTAATCTAAAAAATAGTGCAGATGCTGGTGTTATGAACTAAACCCATTCAAAACATTTTAAGGTAGCCTAGACCCTAACTTTTTTTTACTTTAAAGGTAAATGTAACATGCTGATTGATTAAAATGTAATTACGATTAAAGAATTAAATGTGTTGCTCAATGGTTGGTATACGAGAAATGGATTTCAGTTCATGGGACGCTGGCACCAGTTTTATGAGAAGTGTCAGCTGTGCTATTGGGATAGTTTTCACCTGAACCATGCTGATACCAGTGTTGTGAAGAGTTGTACACCTAGGGTGGTTGAGAGGGCTTTAAACTAAATAGTGTCAATGAGGAATCGAGTGAATGAAAATTTTAACAGTTCAAGAGAGACGACAAGGCAAGAAAGCAAGATAGCAATAAAGGAACACGACAGTCAGAGTGTGATAGGAAGGGACAGAACTTGGAAACTCAAGTCTGCTAATAGATAAGATTAGAGGTTGTGAAAATAGTAAAAAGACAGAGCTTAAGGCTTTGCTTCTGAATATGTAGCATTCATAACAAAACGGACAATTTGAAAGCACAAGCATGTATGATCTGATAGCTGTAATGTAACATGGCTGCAAGGTAACAGACGCTGGAACTTAAATATTCAAGGGTTTAGTTTTGAAGTTCAAAATGTACATTCAGTTCAGGTAGAAATAAGAAATAGTGAAAGTAAAGACTCATCTGTGGGAGTAGTTAATAGGCCAGATAACAGGAACCACACTGCAGGGTGGCATATACAGGAGGAAGTCATGGATGCTGTGAGAAAGCTACAGCAATAATCATGGGTGATTATAATTTACATACAGATTAGATGCATAAAATTTGCAAAAGCAGTCTAGAAGAGGAGTTCAGTGTTTTCAGGACTTTTTTTTTTGGAGTAGCAAGTTATCAAGCTGAGCCAGACTGCTAGAAAGGCATTTGGAGTGTGCCACCAACACCCACCCACCCCACCCCCTCCCCCCCCAAACCAGTCCCTGCAGTAAAACTACCTGAAGCCTGAAGAAGGTCTGTCTTTTCTGCCACCAATCGCTCTAAGCTGTGGTCTTTAATCAGTAACTAAAGGACTTTGTAAACATCTTATGCCTCTCAAGTGAAAAGAAAATGGAGGAAGGACATTGATGAACAGAAAATCTTGACAAGTTTAGTGAGTGGGTAAAAACCTGGCTGTAGACTATAATGTGGAAAAATGTGAGATTATGCACTTTGCCAAGAGGAACTGAGCAGCTCAAATTTTATTTAAATGCTGAAAGGCTGCAGATAGCTGAACGGCAGGTTTGCGATAAAGAGTAATGCCAACAGCCTAGTTTCAATTCATGCACTGGCTGAGGTTACCATAAAGATTATCTCAACCTCTCCCCTCCCCAAGGCATAGTGACCCTCATTAACTGACCACCATTCTGTCTCTCTCACGAGAGAGCAGCTCCATTGTCCTGCCGCACAAAGGGATTTGGGCGTCCTCATGCATGAATCACAAAATTACAAATTCTTTAGGGAATGTGGAACGTTTATGGAATGATGAGCTTCACTTCAAAGTGAACAGAGGTCTTGCTAAAACTAGACAAGGCACTAATCAGACTACACCTGGAGTACTGGGAATATTTTGGTCTCTTCACCTAAGGAAAGGCATACTCGCAGTCCGGAGAAGGTTCAGTAGGTTGTTCCCAGTAGGGAGGGTTTTCTTAAGAGATGAGTACTTTGGCCTTCGACAACTTGGAGTTTACAAGACTGCAGCAACCTTATTGAAATATAAAATACTTAGGGGGCTTCACAGAGTAAATGTTGAGAGGTTGTTTCTCTTGAATCTCGGGAGATTATTGGACTGAAAAGCAGAACCCCCAAGGAAGGGGTCATTCAGTTAAGACTGAGAAGAGAAATTTCTTCTCCCAGGGTGTAGTAAATGTGGAATTATTCACCGCTGAGAGCTATTGAAGCTGTGTCCTTTAGAACATTAAGGCTGCAATGGCAGATTTTTATTCAGCGAGGAACTCGAGGGTTCTGGAGTAAAGGCAGGGAAGTGGAGTTGAGGATTTTCTGATCAGCAATGACCTTACCTGCTACTCAGTGGGCCGAATGGCCTACTTCTGTTTCCACCCCCCCCATCCCCCATGTCTTATGGTCTTAGCCTCCATTGCTAACTAAGGAAGTCAAGATTGTGCGGGGGAGCCAAAAGCACACAACTGTGTGAAAAGTAGTGGCGGGCCTGAAGATTATACAAAATATTAACGGCAGAATTATGAAGATTAGTGGTGGAGAAATCAGAGTACTTGGATATCTTTGCACTGTGTTATTTCAAAGACTGGGAGAAAAGTGAGACTTCCAGAAGACTTGGCTCATAATATCAGTAAGGAAAACCATGTATGCATCTGCAAGGCTGCTATTGAGCAGACAATGTGCTTGTTGAGCGTTAGATTCAGATGTTTAAACTGCTCATGCAGAGCATTTCAGTATTTCCCACAAACTGTCCTGTGTCTTCGTGGCATGCTATGCCTTCCATAAATTTATTTCACGAGGCTGGAGGGATGGAAAAAGTCTTTGCAAAGGAAGTGGTGGAAGACTGAGATATTCCCTTAAATGAAAGCAGACGTGGTGCCGATTAGGTTGATGGGAGATTAGGGATTATAGGGTATTGGAGGTGGACAGGAAGAACTCGGGGCAGTGGTGAAATGAGGCAGACAAAACTTTGACAGCTTTGTAGCTTCCAGGCTGAGTGATCTAATTATACTTGAATTTTATGTAGTTTGAAAACATTGCTGTCTGGGAGGCCCACAATTTTCTATTTGGGATGGACATCATTGAGTTATTTCATTTACATTGGTTTTTACTCCCTTAAGGAAAGCATCTTGTTTTAGTTTAGTTCTGTTCACAGTGTGACCCCTTTCATGCATAAATCAGTTTGGAAGGGCTTAGCCTTTGTGCCTATTGCACACATCATACCAGCACAACACACCAGTCGGCCCTTGCTCTTGGGATCCTGGAAGGAATGATAGTTATGGGCCTTGGATCAGACATGTACATGCTACGTTGAAAGCCACATACTATCTTAGTGCAGCTTGGTTGCACTCTTATCACCTAAAGATCTTGGGGTTCAAGTCCAAAGCACCCTGAAAGTGGCC